CTGCCTATCTAACCTGCAGTTCACAACAGAGAAGCACAAGGTGGCGAGAGCTAACTCCTGTGAGCCCACAGCTGGGGAGAGGTGTCTCCAGCGATGCTTTACAACAGCTCACAGAGCAGAGCTAGCATAGGCTCCAGTGAAAGGAAGTCTTCTTAGAGTCCTAATCCCAGCACACACAGATGCGCAGTGTCTCACAGGACAACCAATCTCCACAGAGATCACTGTGTTGGTGTTCCAAATAAATAGCTAAGAGGTGGACCTTGGCATAAATACTAAGTGCTAGTGTGTTTCTCAGCCCATCTGAACACCTAACACTGATACCCTACAAAAACTGTAAAAACGAAGGTTTACCAACCTCTGCAGTGACACACCAGTGTGGATGGGAGCAAAGTCAGGCCCAACAAGTTTAAAAGGAAATATTTACTATTCAGACAGTGCCTGAGGTATGTTACTACACTCTACTCTACTATTACTACTACATTGCATTGCCATTCCTACTATACTGCACCAGATAACACAGATTAAGAGTAGATTACAGCTGGTACAGGGCACGAGAACCAGATCAGAACGTATGTACAAGATCAGTACTGACAAGTCTCCTTAAAATTAATCTTTATCAAGACTTATACCTACTGAGAGCAATGCAGTGCAGAAACCATTAGAAAGTAGGCATTTGCAAAGCAACAGAATGGATACCAATTAAGTAATGAAGGGTTGGTGATAACTGTGGTTAACTTAGATGCCACAGGATGGCAAATATTCAAAAACACCAACATTTTTGAAGGAAATTTAGTATTATTAGTGTATCCTTTATACATTATAGTATATCCTTTTGGAAGTAACAGTTACAAGTTATGGTCAGGGTTATTGGGAGTTAAGGATACCACTGCCACGGGAACTGACAAACAAGTCAACTTAATGTTAAGTAATAATTCCAGAATCTGAGGAAAAAATGGACCTCTGATGTAGAGGTTATTACTGTAATTCTCCAACAGAGAATTTAGGGAAGCTTTCTGCAAACTATGGGTTATTCTGACTACAGTTATCTTCAGTTCAAATGCCAGGTACTTGGATGCATTAGTCCAAGATTAAAAGTAGTATCAACAGGGCTTTCTGACATGGACTTTATAAAGTTGCAGAATTTCAGTATAACAGGCAGTAAGAACAGTAAGTTACTCTTTAACCGTCAAACTGTTTTACTTTTTTTTTTTTTTTAGAATCAGTAGCAACTTTGTGACAACTAAAGTTTAAAAAATGCACTTGATTGCATAGTGACAGATTTGCAGAACATTTTTCATCACACACACATATGTGCTTTCAGTTATTAATAAAATGCTTCTGCCCTTAATCTGCCATTGCCTGAATATACAATTTCAGTGTCTTGGATAGACAAATACTGTTAAGGAATTCTGTTTTCCCTGTTTGAGATGTAATTCAATTACACCAAGTAAAACAGAATACTATGTCTTTAAAACTGGCTTCGGCATGCCACAGAAAGGAATACCGAATCACTTTTCTGTTAAGTTCCTCTTGGAGTGGAATGATAACAAAACTTTCTTCTCTTCTTCACCCCCCCCCCCCTTCGTTTTTTCCTCATTTTAAACAAGGAAGAGCCAGCAGCCCTCGGTAACACCACAGGTAGATATTAAACTGGAGACAGCCATTATTTAGTGGCGACAGGAATATAAATACATGCACTAACCTATAAGCTGGTGTTTACTTCAGGAAAGTAAGTCATATTTTTTCCTCTGATTGCCGTGCTGTCAGTTTAATGCAGCGTAAATAAACAGTAGGTGCATGATAGCTTTAAGTAGAAAGTGTTCATTCCACAAGAGGAGCAGATTACTGAAGCCTGATGCCTATAACGGCAAAAGCAGAACTTCCATTTTACCTGAAAATATAGCCTTCCACGCTAAGAGACTTGTGGCTTTTCTATTAAATTAATTTGTCAGAATTCTATGAAAAATATTATGTACTCAAAGAACTTTACCAAAAACATTCATTTTTGCAGCCCTCAACTTGAACCATTTGAAAAAAACAAAAGCCAATCACTCCTCTGTAATTTCATCATCTCATTGCTCTAAATGAAAGCTTTATATAATCAACCTAATATAACAGAAAATAAAATGATATATAGAATTGCCTATACTTTGAGTTATTTTGTTCTTATAAATATATTCCCTGACTGAAAGTAAAAAAATTCCCCTTTGGAAAAAGCAATGATGTCTGAGAAGATTGTATATACACTCTACATCTATTAACATAAATTATAAGAAAGTAAAACGTTCCAGATGTGTTTAAACTGTTGTAGAAGGAAAGTTTGTGGCTTCATTGGTTATATATTAAATATATCTAGAGAGAGCAATGGCAGTTATACACAAGAAGGCAATAAAATGCTTCACTAGAGTCTATGTTAAAATACCATAGTTCCTAGAAATATGACTAAAATATTTCAGAAGTCATATTTCCTCCAGTTTTAATTCAGAAATCTGCTTTTAATATCTTTTTCTATATATTACATGCTATTTTGTTAATAAAATAATCTTGATTTTCTTCCCCCCAATACAGCTGGAAACCTAAAGAATTACTTCAAATTTCTCCAACAATGCTTAGATTAAAAAATAGATGACAATAAAAAGGTGACAATATTTCCAAAAATTGAATAGTTGATACATGTAAAAGATTTGGTGGTTTGCTTTTTAACAAGAACATCAGACTTCAGCTGATTGTCTTCTAAATGGCAGTAAACCCCTCTCTAGCCCAAACCTGAAATGCGGGAGAAACCTCTGTAAGAGGTTTTTGTGCTGCGGGGGTGGATTTGTCCATGTCCCCGGCAGGGCTGAACGTGGTGGTCGGTGCCTGTGGGATACTGGCAGGGCTGCAGGAATGGCTGCAGGCAGGGCTGGCGCTGCCTGTCCTGCCTTGGGAAGCACATGAACAGAGGGCAGGTGCTCATCCGCTGACCTGCTGGGCCTACGCTGCAAACCAAAAAGGTGTCCTGCTCGCATACAAGGCGGGGCAGTCTCTCTCTGCTTTTCATGCTGCCAAAGCACTATGTCCCATCAGTGAGTTACAGATCGACTCTGCTTTACAGTGTTTTCTTAGGAGCACAGCAGCAGGTTAGGAATCACGAGAATCACTAAAATAACAGGCGAGGGGAAACTGCAAGAGTTACTTTCCTATTTAAAGAATTAAGAAAGAAGAATATAAAAAGGAAATGGACAGTTTTTCAAAGTGCATGCACAAAAAGCATTTCATTTAAATATTTTTTGTTCCAGTAAACTCTTTTGCATACAAAGGACTTATTTATTACATATTTGGACTTGTGGGAAAAAGGGAAGGAATGCACTGATTCCTGAAATAACTCTACAGTCTTTTTGGAGACTTCGCTCTTCTGTGCTCTTGTTCTACTCTGAACAGTTTTATTCCAGGGACGGAGGAATTCCTTGGAGTCAGTTGTTTCTTTTCCACTAGCTGTATTCAGGAGTGGGCATACATAGCATACTAGCCAGTGATTTTAATTTCTCCTCTGTTGCCTTATTATGTGTGTGCGTTGTCTGTTCAGACGCATGCTTATACGTGAACACGCATTTTCTGTCTGCTCATTTTTTTACCTACTCTATGTTATTTCACATTTCCATGGAAAACCATTGCTTCAACTTGAAAAGCAAGGTACTACCAATAATAATCTCAAATAGGAAGTGAATTAGAAAATTAGTGTATGTATAAAACATATTAAAGAGCATATAGGAGTACGGGACTGAAAAGAGCACTCTCAAATTCTACAAATAGTGCTGCAGAGTAATTAGAAGACAGAAATTGCGGTGAACATCCTACATTCATGTCTATACACTCTACACTTACAGTTTCAAGTTGTTTTTGAATAGTGCGCCTGATTTGACACATTTCTATCTGGTGATTGTGTTAAATGCTTGAAGAGACAGTGAAATATCCAAGCATTCCTTGTGCTAACTACAGCTGAAATTTTACACTTATTGTAACCTTTTCTAACAATGTGAGAAAAACAGAGTAAATATATTAAATTTGTTTCACAACAGATGCTTAGGTTGTTAATATTTAAGATGCCTATTCATGCTATTCCTGTCTGCACATTTGTCAAAAATGTAAGCTTGAATGCTAATGTTTGCCAGCAGACTACAGCAGACAAGTATACGAATGCACTGTACCAAAATAATATAAAGTAGAAATAAAGGGCTGCTGCTAACTCCCACCCAAGCAGCACGGACCAGAATGAAAGGGCACCTCCAGATCACATGCCCTGGAGTCTCTGCATCTGAATTTGAGAATTATTTTCTCAAAAGTGCTGCGCTCATTTGGATGGACTAAAACCAACGGAGAGCTTTCCTCAGTTTAAACTCATTTCAGCTTCGGAGCTGGTGCAAAGTGTTTCAGCAAACTTGCATTTTAGCGAAGTTTCTCTCGCAGTCAGAGAAAGCTGGAGACTGGCAGAGGGAAACTCCGGGTCGGGCAGGTGCCTGTCAGGAGCGCTCCCCCAGGCAGCCGGCAGGGACGACGACAAAGGGGCGAGGGTTTAGCAAAACCTCGGGTGGCGGGTTCGGAGAAGGAGCGGAAAAATCAAAAATAAAATCCTGGAGCACAGAGGCGAGCGAGTTCCTGGCACTGCTCCCCGTGACAGCGGCAGCGCCGGGTCGCGCCGCGGGCGGGCGGGGGGAACGTGCCACCCACTGCCACGGGCGCGCCCGCGCCTGGGCCAGCCGCCGCCGCTCGGCCGCCGGGCAACCCCGGCGCCCCGCGGAAGTACCACCCCGCGACCCCCCACCCGGCTTCCCGCGACCCCCCAGCCCGCTCCGAGCCGCCGCCTCGCCCCGCACCGCTCGCCGTCGGGGGCGCCGCCGCCCCGTACCCGCCGCTGCCGGGAGGCGCGCGGGGCCGGGTGAGAACTTTGCCAAACTTCTGCGTTTTTTTTTTTTTTTCCCCTCTGTCACCCATTCCCCCTGCTCTCCCTGTGCCGGTGGTGGATGAGGCGGCAGCGGAGCGGAACGGGGCCGGCGAGCGCCAGCGGCGCGGCGGCAGGTGTGAGCCCGTGCCGGCCGAGTAGCTCCTGCAGCGGCAGCGCCGAGCGGAGCCACCCGCCCCGCGCCTCCCCCCGCCCGCCCTCTCGTGCCGGCACCGCCGGCCTCGGTAAATCAGCGCGGCGGGTGCCCCCGGCACGGCCCCGTCCCCCCCGTCCCCGAGGAGCGACGCCGAAGGAGCGGGACCGACTCACTCATGGGAGCGCGGCGGGCGAGGCCGGCGACACCTCCGGCTTCCGAGGCGCCGGCGAAGTTAATTGCACTGAAGTTCAAGTTGTCTTTTCACCCATCAGGAGTGGGCGTTTAAAGGAAGGAGAGCGAGGAGGAGGAGGGGGAGGGGGAGGGGGGAGAGTCTCTCTCGCTCGCTCGCTCTCGCGCACACACACACACACACACACACAGGCACACGCATGCACTCGCACACACACACACACACACACGCACCCGCCCGCTCGGCTCCGCTTCCGAGCTGCCTCAGCAAGGAGGAGCCCGGACGGAAAACACCAGGGCAGCAAGGTACCGGCGTGGGGCAGCCCTGCCTCTGCCTGCGTGTCTGTGCGGTGTGCGTGCGCGTGTGTGTATATGTGTGTGTGTGTGTGTGTGCCCGCGTTCCCCCCGCCCGCTGTCTCGCACAGCCCCTCCGGGCGGGGAGGTGCGCGCTGCCCCCGGGAAGGGGGCGGCGGTGCCGTCGGGGCAGCGCGGCCGCGGGAGGCCGGTCCGACTGGGGCCGGGGGACTGCGAGCCCTGCGCTGCCGCTCGGCTCCACGCCTGCTGCTTCCTGCCTGCGCGGCGGCGGTGGGGAGGTGGGGGGAGGAAGAACCGAGCAGCGGCTGGAACGCGGAGGTGGCGTGTGTCTGTGTGTGTGTGCGCGGCGTCTCCTCCTCTCCGGCGGCTCCCGGCCCCGCGTGGCGGTGGGGCTGACTTGGTGGAAGTCCCGAGGGGTGAGGGTGTGCGAGTGTCCATCCCTACCGCCCCCCATGCCCCGCCGCCGTGCGACTCGGGTCGGAACCCTCCGCCGTCCCCGCATTTGCCTTCCCCCGGCACCGCGCCCCCGGCCCTCTCTCCGCCCTCCTCGGCCCCCGGTTTCCCCCTTCTGTCCATCTTTCCCCCACTCCTTTATTTCCAGACCTGCCCCCGCGCCGCTACTCCCAGCGCCCTGGCGGCTGCCCCTTTCGGGCAGGCAGTGCCCCACGGCCACCTGCGATTTGAAGTAGCTGAGGGAGCGATGCTCCGCGACCGCGCTGGCGGCCTTCCAGGGTTGGGGATGCGTCCCCCGGAGGCCTCTGCCCGCCCAGCACCTCCGCTTCCCCATCGGGCCGGGAGCGGGGTCGGGTCCCGCCGCTCATCACCCCTGGTGCTCCTGACTGGTGTTTCACCACATGCTCCTCGGTAACGCTGTTTGAGAATTGCCTTTTTTCGTGAAACTTCTCCTTGGGGAAGTACTTGTTCTCTTTTCTTTTGTTTTTAAGACCTTCTTCTCCCTCTTCGTCGATGCAGGATTTGGAAGCAGACTTCCTGGAGAAGGACGCTGGCAATGAGTGCAGGTTTCCCTGAAAGCTGAGGCTGTTTCTTATTCCCTAGGAGACTGAGAAGAGAGGGGGCCCCGGATGTCAGCCCAATCTCCGTTTTTTATTTGTCTCGACTTTGAGGCAGATTTCCTCTTTCAGCTCTGGGAACTGACAGGTACAATTCCTGTAGGCACCTTTGCATGTCTCATAAACAAGACCAAGGCCAAGAAGTTGATAAGTCAGTGCTTTTCCTAGTTAACCAGCGGTATGCCCTTCTATTAATTGCTATTAGAAAGTTAACCTTGTAGCTCAGTTATTGAATAATCATTAATCCATGGAGGATACACAAGCCCAAAGGTTAATAACAGGAATAGCAATTAATAATATTGACCTTGCCAGTGGGAAGAGTATTTTTGTCATAGTTATTAAAAGGCACTCCTATTTGTACTGTGTACAGTGGTGCAAATTTGGACCCAATATGCTGAGTGCCAAATTAATGCAACAACACCAGAAATTAATTTACCCCATTATCTCCATGTTATCAGTCCTCTGACTTTTTCTCCCTTTAAAACATATCATTCACTATTCTCAGTTTAGATAGAAATGCTAGGTCTTTAATCAATTCTGACATTTCCACTAGAAAATAACATCAAGCTCACTTACACAGATAAAAATTTATTTGCCTGCAGCTGATTTGTTGTAGTGCTTTGGACCTATTCATTTCTCAGAGAGAATTTAGCTTTCTATGGTCTTTTGATACCATGGGGTAATAAATAGGAAATCAGTACAAAGGGGACATTCTCACTTTTATAAGTCCAACTCCCCCCTCCCTAGAGCTGCCTCCTCACAGGGCTACTCAGACTGACTGACTGACTAACCTGCATCTTCTATTGTCAAAGATCCATCTCCTTTATTTTGTATCACATTTCTGACTGGCTGGTCAGTAAGCCCTAATAGTAATCATGTTTCATGTCTCAGAAATCTAATAGTCAAGTTACTCATTGTTACAAATTGCAGCTAAGCTATGTGGGTTAGTCGCGTTATCCCTACTTTAAAGGCAGGGAAACTGAAACAGGAAAATTAACACATTTGCCTGAGGCTACGCATGGATTTAAGAGCAGATCCAGGACTGGAACTGAATTTAGACCAAGCTCCCTCTTAAAGATTCTTAAGTGTGCTATGGAAAATGCTTCTTTAAAAAAGAAATGTAACGTAAACCTTATTTTTCATCAGTTTTGTACGTTAGTCAAAATACATTTTTTTTTTAGCTCACATTTCCTTTTGTAAAGATAAGATTTATCCAGCTTTAAAAAAAAAGTGTGGTGGTACCTTTCAACTACATAGGCCAGTTTACTTTGGAAAAAAATATTTAACATGAGATTGTGAGCAGTAATGGGAACAGAATTGCTTGTTATTAGGCTCCTGTAAACAATATTTGCTGAATGTTATGGTATAGTTACAGGTCAACAAAACATAATGAGAAGTCCAACATTAGTATAGGTAAGCTGCTCTTGCTTACCTAGTGTGCATCAGTTTTCACTATAATGCACTTTCAGTGCTTTCAGTATCAAAATACTTAGCATGGGTCTAAACATTGAAAAACATATGGGACCATATACTGTGTTTGAGAGTTATGTACCAAGTCGTGTCATTCATGTCACTGAAGCAAGACATATATTGCCTGCCCTTTAGCTGTGACATGTCATGAAAGCTGTGTGGTATGACTGAGCACAGATGGCATGCCTAAAAAGCAGGCATACAATATAACTTTCCTGTTACTGACACGTAGACATTTCCTCTTCCTCAATGTCCACCCCTAGATGTTTGCTTGCCCAGCCTTCTACAGGAACTATAGAAAGTCCTGCTCATCCTGCTCATCCCTGGGGCCTGGAATTGTACAGTCAAAACCCTATACAGAATAAGTGTTGGCTTTTTTTTTTTTAAGTTTTTTTTTATTTATGCTGACAGCTCCATTCTGAGCATTTTTAGAGTCCTGATTTGAGGGAAGTGGGTGCAGATCTCATTCAAATAGTCATTCTCCAATACCATTAACATTACCTGCCAAAAATGAAAGTGGCATATGAATCACAATAAGCTACTCATGAATTTGTGGATTTAGAACCTGCCAAGGAAAGATATACATGAGATTTCAAAGTCCCACCAGTTGCAGGGACTTTAAATAGTATGTAAAAGTACGTTTATCCAAAGACCATCTTGTTGATGACCCATTCTATAAGGGCTACAGACATAAGCGATTCCAGGGAAGGGTAATACTAACTGAAAATATTTCTGTTCTCATCTTTCACTTACAAGTGAGATGGTGAAAGTGATGAAACTGCTAATTGTAACTATGTCAGAGACCTTTCCTGAGGTGCTCCTTATCAAAGTGCTACTGTGACTCTTTTGTGTGAGAAGAGCTTTAAAATCCTCTGGGAAATATCCCAGTTGCTTTCCAGTTCCTTTCAGACATGTAAATATCTTTATGTTTAGACATGAGTAGAGAGGGGTGGAAAACGAAGTTCAGCGAGGAGTAGAATGGGGTTAAAAGCATCCACATAGATCCAGGAACCAAATACATACATGTCTTTTTTTTTTTCTCTATCTGATGTTAGCTGGGAAAATGAAATGTTCATTATCAAGAAGAAACACTGCATAAATGTGTGGATACTTGAGATTTATGTTTACCCATGATTGACAGAGAAGGCCATCTTCTGCCTGAAATTACAGATGAGCAACAGAACTCTCAGTAATGCTCAGATACTTATGTTGTTCTCAAGTAATATGTACATTACCAAGTATGGTTTATTTCCAGCTTGCAGTATATGAATAATGCTATATGAGTGAAAAAGACTACATGCCACCTAGCATGCCCTCTGATTGTTTGCTTTTTTCGTGGTTTGCTTTAAGCTAAGCACATCAGAAACTGAAAATAACATTTGGGTCTTTTTTCCTTCTTAACATAAAAAACCCACAGCCAAGGTTTTGTAAACTATTTATATGTTGTTACTTGTGAAACATAACAAAGAAACCTGCATACTAGCATGGTCGACACATAGATGTCTCAGCTGCTTGTTGAAATGTTAAGACGTGGTTTGAGTAACTGTGTTCCAACCGGTTATAAGCATTACCTGTTGTAGGATGAAAATGGTAGTGAACAAATACAACCATGCATTGTAGCCTTCTGTGCATATTTTAGGTGCAAGTGGCCATTATCAGCAGTACCTCAACCTTGTCTGGTGTTCCGTCTCACTATTGACTCAGTGGAAGGTAGTCAGACTTTTCTGAATGTATCGTCAGGGTATTTCTGCAGTCTTGATTATTCTACTCTTTGTTGGTTAGACACCAATCTCCCAAGCTTAGGCCTATGCCACCTCACTATCTGAATGTCTCTCCTGAAAATTTGTTTTCTGAAATGGGAATCCTGTCAGTAATAACAAATTCATCTATCTGTCTCCAGACTGGCTTAAGTGTCCTCCAGTCACTTAGTGAAGACCTGTGTTTTCCAGCCTTGATGCTACACAGTACGTCAGTCCATTCAGCTTCTCTCCAAGATGGTAACTACCTTCTGTTCCACATCTCTTACACGAGATCTTTGGATTACTTAAAAAAGTAAGCTGCATCCTGTATATTTCCTCTTAAAACTTCTCTTTAGGAAAAAAATCAACTTATTGTGGGCACATCAGTGATATCAAACTCACTTCTGTTTTGTCTGACTGCTCTCTCCATCTTCTGTCAGTCTAAAAAGTGTAATTTTTTAAGGATTGAAGGAGTTATATTAATATTTGTGTGAACCATTTTTCCTGCTCATTGTCTGTTCTTCTTTTCTCCTTCCCCTTGGTGTCTGGTTCATCTTGGCTGCTTTTAAAAATTCTGTTGCCTCTAGTGAGGGACTGCCAGATTAAACCAGTGAAGAGAAACCAGGTGACTGTCTACTTTTATGAATATAGGTTGTGTATAATAAATTCAGGTTTTACATCTATGCAAATTAAATCATCATATGATTCTGACTACATGCATTTTTTATCAAATATGGCATATATTTCACAAATTATATTTAACTTGTAGTCATGTTGCAATTTTAAATACCTAACTAGGAGTTACAAGGTGTGCCACTAGGTCTTGGTAAATAGGTTTACAAACACAGAAGAAATAGAAGAAATTTACCTTTTTTCTTGTATTCCTGGTAAGTTCAGTGAAAAAGTTTTTCTTCCTATAGGTGATAATATTAAACATCTCACATACTGTTTGTCTTTAGAGACAAAAATACATTTTGTTACTAGAAATGTAGAGATTTTGTAGGGGCCTAAACAGAACATGGCCAGAATGAGGAAGTTTTAAAGCAACATGTCTTTGGTCTGGAGTTTACAGCATCTAGTTAGTAGGGCTTTTTGCTAATGTTTCTGTCATGGAGTGGAAGTTAAATGTCAAAATAAACTTTTTACTTCCGCAGAATTATATATTCAACTTGGGAATATTGTGAAGTGAAAATAGGATTTAGCGAAATTCTTTCTGTGGGATTTATCGACAGACAGGACAGTTTTAGTGTCAAGCCCTAAGCCTTGCAATATGATTCCCAGCCATAGGTGCACCATACTTTGAATAATCAGTCTGTCAGCTGAGCTTTGACAAGGATTATGCTGTGAAGGTAACAACTCAATGCTTTCCATGTCAACTCTCTTTGGTAATTGCTGCTGTTTTTTCTTAAATAAAAAGATATTTTGGTGAGCACAAAGATGTCTCTGTCAATACTTGTGTTTTGATCAATAAGAGGATCTGGATGGTATGAAATGTGGGACTCAGTTAGAATTGAAACATCTGAACAAACAGCTGTGATTCACAAAACCTCTGCTAAGCAGTTGCCTAAACCTCAAAGCACTACGTTTGCCTGTCGTGATTCATACCTTGGAGTTAGTTCCTTTTCCACCTGTGGCTCCCAAGTGGTTTTCCAGGAGTGTTCATGCCCACCCAAGTCCTCTGGACATCAGTACTGCGATATTCTTCCACTCAAGTGTCCTGATCATCTTGACCTACTGGTCACTTCTGGAGTGTGCCCAGATTCCGTGACATGACTGGCTTTTTGACAAAGTGCAGCAGCGTCACAGCGGTAATGATAGGACTTATTCCCAGGACTATTTTTACTTTTTTTTTTTTTTTTTTTTTTTTTTTTTTTTTTTTTTTTTTTTTTTTTTTTTTTTTTTTTTTTTTTTTTTTTTTGAGGGGGATGTTTTGTGTATTCCACAACAATTTAACATAGTGAAGACAGAAATAATCCCAAGAAAACTCAGTGTGTGCCCCAGCCCTGGGAATAACCTAAACATTAGATTATGATCTTGAATTCATTTGTGCTCAAGGGCGCTGTTTCAGCAGAAGGGTCGAGACTGCCTCTTCTAAAATAACCATCAGCCTAGTGGTCAGAGTCCTCCCTGGGGTGAGAGGAGTTGTGAATTGGGGCCTTTCAGGGCAGGAGAGATGAATCCCATGATTGTGTGAGTGCTCTAATCATAGAGTTGTTATATAGAGGGAGATGAGAAGCCAGCTTTTCCTCCAGCTATGTTTTAATAAAACATAAGTTTTGAAGGAAAGATCACAGGAACCTATTTTCATAAAAAGAATCAGGGTGTAGATTCTGAGTGGATGGAGGCACCTCTCAGACAGCCCTGTCTTTAGAGGTAACCCTCAGGTAGAGCACTGGCTTAAGAAGGAGGCAGGATTTTAGATTTGGGACAAACCTCATGTTTTCCCTGGTTAGCTCCACTCATCTTATGTTGAGGTCAAGACACGCTGTGCTGGCTGCTTTCCAGGCCACCCAAGTGTCTCCCTACGTATGCCACAGGAGGGTCACACTTTTAAACATGATACTGGATACCTGGTAGGGAACCATGGGATGAAAAATGTAGTTTTGGAGCACCAAAAGCCTTTATAGGGTTAGGCCATATAAATCAGTATCTGATAATTCATACAGTTGGTTTCATATTAACACCAGTACTTGATATCTGGTGGTAATGGTTCTCTGAGTAGAGTTTCTTGTCCATTTTTACTTTGTATTGCAAAGGACCGCACAGGAAACTGTTGGATTGCGTTTTATTTATAATGAAAATTCTCACTGTGTTTCCCATTAGATGCTCTAATGGCTAGCATGGCTAGACACTCATATTGGTTTTAAGCCCTGTGGGATACAAGGTTAGAATTATATTTTTATGGAATTTATCTAAATTAAAATGGAACTGCATATGAAAATTTTGACCTTTCTTGGGGAAAGTGTAATTATATTCAAAGATGCTTATTCCTCCTTTAAAAATAATTTCATTTTACCTACTTGAAAACTTGCAAAATCAGGGGGCAGTATATTCCTCAAAAAATAGGTAACAACATGACAGCAGTCCAGTGCACAGGTTTCCTCTGCTGTGGCGTAACTGACTACTTTTACCACTTATAGGATGTATGGGCACAGTTGTTCAGGCAGTCTGTCCCATGTGTGTTCCCTTCCCCAAACCTGCTTGATACGACTGAAGAGGAGGTTACAAAGCTGCCCTGGAACCCTCCCATTTGTGATCTACATCCTACAGTATGGATATTCTAAATATCTTGGGCTTTCCCTAGCTAACAAGCTGGTTATTCTGGCTATGCATAAAGATACAGATTTGGGTTTTAATTAACATCTGTAGTTTAATCAAACCATTTATGATCCTGAGAAATCTGAACTGTAGACTTTCCGGTTTTTCTGATGACAGACAAATACCATAAACAAAAAGGAAATATGGCTGTGGTAACTTTTGTGGAAACCTGAGAAGTCTGAAAACCGTATTTGTCAATGTCTGATGAAGAATTAAAAAAAAATAATAGATGTAGGAGAATAAATACATTAGGGACTTCACAGAAGTTTTTAGTGTTTAAGTTTAAACAGCATTCTATGTTGTTTTACAGGGTCTAGCTCTCCTGCAGTGACAGTGATGTAAATCTCCTGCTAGGCCCAGTTTTATTATAAAAGAAGTTGACCCAAAAGAGAAAATCTGGAATAAATTGCCGTGAAAGTGGATTGGCCTGTTTAGTCTGGTGACCCAGTGAAACAGTGGAGGACTTTATAATCTTCAGTACAGACAGGTCTTCATTGTTGAAGGAAGCAGGAAGTGCTAAGAGGCTATAATTGCATATTCTTTAATAAGAAATATAATTGTTGCTTTCTCCAAACAGATCTCAGACAGATTTTAATAGTGTGCACACATTGAGAAGCCTCTGAAACACACCCTTCTACACAAATTTGTTCATGTACATTGATATATTCTAATGTGTTTACACCCTCTAAAAATGTAGTCCCTGTAGAGCATTTCTGAATTGTAGGGTTCCTTACTCTTTTTTTTCCCCTTTTTAGATTGACTATGATGTAGACAAATATAATTGAGCAAGATTCAGTAAGAGAAAAGAAGGTCCAGTAGATGTGTTTCTTTTGAGACTTTGAAGTCTCTGTCTTGGAATAAAGGCTTATCTTTGCCATGATTATAGTGGTCAGTCTTTACTACAATGTCAGGGCCTTGCCATCTTTCATTGTGCTGCACGTTCAAAAAAACCCCCACAAATAACTCAGATTTGTGTTTTGGTGGTTTTTTTTCCAAAAAAATCAAATTAGGAAACTACATTTGTGAAGTAGTATAATTTTCTTTGTTGAATCTGAAGGTATCAAATCTTGTGTTAAACTAGTATTAATGTAAACCTTGGTCAACACATGGAAAAGCAGTGTTGTGCAAAGCCTATCATAACTACTGATTGTGAAGTCAGCAAAAGCAGACATGAGCTTTTAACACAGCTTCTGGTGGCTGAAATTCAGTTTTCCTCATTTCTTCATGCTCTATACTCTTGTTGTAGTCATTACAAAACAAATAGCTTTCTTAACTGGCATTAGGTGTATGGCTTTCTGTGAAGTATGGTAACTGAGGCTTGAGATCTATGAACAATCGTTTAGTTTTCATCAAACTCCTTCAATGTGTAGATCTAAGCAAAATCATGCCATATGTTGAAAATGAGTTCAGTCATGACTGTCTTTCAGCAGCTGTACTAAATTTGTATTGTTCTGCAGTGCTATGTACAGCTTTTCTCAAAACAATTGAGATCACAGATATATATTAAATTATTTTTATTACCATTGAGTATCATATTTCAAAAGCCTTGAATTCTTGTTTCTGTGAAATGTGAAGTTAGGAAAATACTAGTTTTTTATCCTGGGATACTCATAGCTTTGGTTTAGTTGAAGAAAAGATGCACCATGGAAAGATAGATTCTCCACAATGGCTGAAAATGTTAAAAGTTTCAAGCTCTGTACTCATAAAATCATAAAATCCCAAACAAATAACCAAACAACTGCTAACAACAGAAACAAAAATAAAAGTGCTGCATTCTCTTGTAAATTGTCCATCAGTTTTAGAATATAAATGCTTATCTGATAGTAACTTGTGTGAGATCATCGATTCCTTTTATACCTTCCACTAATCAATCACCTGCTGATAAAGGCTTCCATTGTTCAGGTGACCTGTGTGTGAGGTATTCCACTTTAGTTTAAGAGGGGTATTCAATATCATTTGCCTGATGCAGGAAAGAGTAGGACAGTCTACAGCATATTCATACAACTGGGGTTTAGGAAAAGATTTTATTAAAAAGAATATCTGCAGAAAGAAAAAAAGGACCAATACTGTTTGCCATAGTTAATATGCTTTGTCTTTTTTAAAACTGCAAGTTAAGGTAAGTTGTATCTGGGCAAGCAGGAAAATGAAATCGTGGTTTGCTACTGCTTGGCAATATTCATGCAGTGAGTCAAGTCAACAATACTGAGGTTGAGCAGAACACAAACCAAGGAGGTTGCCCATGCAAATGATACATCCTGGTTGCTTCCTCATGAACTCTTCCATGAAATCCTGCTGCACCCATCTTGATTGCATATGCTAATCCTAGCTTCTTAATTGACTCATAACAGATTTATCTGGATTTCCAACTTCCTCTTCTCTTTAGAATGTTAATTAAAAGAAAAACGATTACATTTAAGATATTCATGACAGTAACAGAATTTTCTGCTTAGAGGCATTCAGGGCCAAATTTTGCTTTTATTTAGATAGGACTATTTAAAATCAATGAGCTTAAACTGTTTTGCACTAGGGACCTTTTGATACCCACACAGTAAAAAAATGGCCTTAGAAGCAATGGAAGACAGTTCATATAGTGTATTTTCTAAATTTTACCTTGTACAGTAAAATTGAGAAAAAGCCCCCAACTTCTAATATAAAATATATATAAGAATCAAAAGCCAATTTGTTTGGATGAAAATGGGCTCAGAAGTGCTTATGTAGACTTGTATATTCTCCCTGTCTTCCCCTAAATCACTCACTGTCACTATTAGGCCTGCAAAAGTAGGAAAAGGATATTCTCCGTATGGAATATGGAGATTTTGAGTCATGTCCCTAGTGTAAACAGGTAATTGTCCTTTGTTATTTCCTAAGCCAGATGCAGAGCTTGTTTATTTTTACTCAATATTTAGGAAAACTTTAAATAGTAGTTACGCTTTTTGTCATATGGACAAAATGAGATTTAATTAGAGAAGAAGTAGAATGAAAATTCTCTTCCTTTTTTTTTAAAAAAAAAAACCCCTTCATTCCTATTATGTACTTCTACAAGGCCTTTTTTTCCATGTTTTTGTTGTTGTTTTTGTTTTTGTTTCTCCTTAGCAAGGCACTTTGTAATCATGCTCTT